AGACCCCTTCTCACTGGACCAAAGGGAAGGGAATGAGCTTGTGGGGAGGTGAGGAGAAGGAAAAGATGTTCCTAACTTCATTTTACACAGGGGGGCAACTCCAATGGGGTTACCTTCCTACAGTCTCTTCTTGTGGAAAGTAGGGTAGAGCAGGGCCATAGCATGTCTGCCACATGACTCCTCACCCACTCTCTGCCTGATCCAGGAAAACTGACCTAAAGATGACTTTTCCTGGTCCTTGTGCAGCTAGGATCCCACCTGCTGCTGAGATGCAGGAGGGAGCAGGTTCTCCTTCCCTTTCTGTATGTATAGGCAATATCACCCTGACAGAAGTGGGGATGGACCCAAACATGTTCAAATTTAGAAGCTATATGGATGGCTGTATCACTGTACTGTACTGTAGATGTGGGCTCAGGGTTCTGATTGGCCCACATGGCCACAGCAGGTGGATGAGGCCTTCTCTGGGAGAGTGGCAGGATAGAAAGAATACAGTACAGAAAAAATATTTGAAGAAATAATGGCTGAAAACTTCCCAAGCTTGGTGAAAGACAAACCCACATATTTATGAAGCTGAGTAAACCCCAAACAGGAAAAATCCAAAGAAATCCATGCTGAGACGTATCATAATCAAATTGCTGAAAACTAAAGACAGAGAAAACAATCTTGAAAGCAGCCAGAGAAAAATGACACATTATGGATAGGAGATTGATGATTCGAATGACTGTGAATTTCTCATCAGAAACCATGGAGGTCAGAAGGAAGTGGCACAACATTTTAAAAACGATGAAGGAAAAGAAATAACCTAGGAATAAAGGTGAAATAGGGGCTTCCCTGGTGGTGCAGTGGTTGAGAGTCCGCCTGCCGATGCAGGGGACACGGGTTCGTGCCCCGGTCTGGGAGGATCCCACATGCCGCGGAGCGGCTGGGCCAGTGAGCCATGGCCGCCGAGCCTGCGCGTCCGGAGCCTGTGCTCTGCAACGGGAGAGGCCACAACAGTGAGAGGCCCGCGTATTGCAAAAAAAAAAAAAAAAAAAAAAAGGTGAAATAAAGACATTCTCAGATGAAGGCAAACTAATAGCCAGCTGATCTGCTCTCAAAGAATTGCTAAAGGAGGTTCATCACATAGAAGGAAAGTGACATAAGAAGGAAACTTGGAAAATTGGGAATTAAGAGCAACAGAAATGGTAAATATTTGGATAAATATAACAAACTATTCGTCCCCTCCTGAATTCTTTAAAATATATCTGATGGTTAAAAGTAAAAAATGTAACACTGTCTGATGCCATTTTCAATGTATATAGGTGTAATATGACACTTCCTGTATAAAGGAGTAAAAGTAAAGGGATCTATATGGTGATACGGTTTCTACATTACAAGTGAAGTGCTAAAAAATTGATTCTAGGTATTTATTTTGTAATCCCTAAGTAACCACTAGAAAATTATACAAAAAGACAAAATTACAATAGATAAAATACTAAAAATGTTCAAATAACCCAAAAGAAGGTAGGAGGAGACAAAGGAATAAGAAAGAGGGGCAAATGCGGAAGATAAATAGTAGAAGAGTAGACCTAATTTCAAACACATCAATAATTGCATTGAAAATAAATGGTCTAAACACATCAATTAAAAGACAGGTTGGCAGGGTGGATTAAAAAACATGACCTAACTATATGCTGTCTATAAAAACACTTCAAATATAAAGACATAATGTGTTTACAGATTAGAAAACTCAACATGGTAAAGATACCAAATTTCCCCCTGATTTATATATTTAATGCAATACTAATCAAGATCCCAGCAGGATTTTTGTTGTTGTTTGTGTGTGTACAGATAGACAAGCTGCTGTTACAATTTACATGGAAGAGCAAAGGAACCAGACTAGCTAAAACAGTTTTGGAAAAGAAGAATAAAGTTGGAGGAATCATATTACCTGATTTTAAGACTTGCTATAAAAATACAGTAATCAAGACTGTGGTATTGGTGAAGGGACATAGGCACAGAAATCAATGGAACAGAATAGAGAATCCAGAAATAGACTCACAAAAATATGGCCATTTGATTTTTGATAAAGGTGCAAAAGAAATTGAGTGGAGAAAGCAACCATTCACCATAACCAGAGCTGGGGACACTGGTGAACAAATCAAAGACTAAATGCAAATGACAAGCAGATCACAGACTAATGTCAAGGCTCTCAGGCTTTTCTTAAAAAAAACCCAGATCTGGCAATAGTTGGCAATAGCCTATATTCCCCTATGGTAACAATTAGCTAGAGCTGAGTGCTGACAACTTCTTTAACACAGGACCTTGCATGCCCCAGTGTGTCACAGCTTCCATGGCACTTTTCTGTTTCTCTTGATACCAAGACTCCATTAGATGCAATTTATTTATTTATGTTTGTTTTGTTTTTTTAATAACTTTTGGCCACACCGCACAGCATGTGGGATCATCCACAGATTCAAACAACCACAGACCGTGTAATACTGTAGTATTCACTATTGAAAAAAATCTGCGTATAAGTGGACCCGTGCAGTTCAAACCCATGTTGTTCAAGGGTCAACTGTACTTTTTTTGTTTTTCTGTACGTGGGCCTCTCACTGTTGTGGCCTCTCCCGTTGCGGAGCACAGGCTCCGGATGCGCAGGCTCAGCGGCCATGGCTCACGGCCCCAGCCGCTCCGTGGCATGTGGGATCTTCCCGGACTGGGGCACGAACCCGTGTCCCCTGCATCGGCAGGCGGACTCTCAACCACTGCGCCACCAGGGAAGCCCTCAACTGTACTTTTTAGATTTTTTTTGCCACGTGGCTTGTGGGATCTTAGTTCCCTGATCAGGGATTGAACCTGGGCCCTTGGCAGTGACAGCACGGAGTCCTAACCACTGGACCTCCAGGGAATTCCTCAACTGTATTTTTAAAATAATATATTAACTTACTCTCCTTCTTTAAAATTAAGAACATTATATATGAAATTAATATCCCTTTTGACCAACTTCCCCTAATCTTTTCCCTCTTCTCTCCTCCTCTGTGTGATCATTATGCATCCTTTTCAAACACTATGCAGTATGCATATAAATCCATGAAAAATGTGTTTATCTTAGTTTACATACATGATATAAACATTTATATCATTTTGCAACTTGCTTTTTCAAGATTCCGTTAGAGATCTATCTAGGTTGACGTTGTTTTTATAGATGGAGCTTGTTCCTTAATTTTGCCTGCCGTATAGTACCTCACTGTATGAATCATTGTATCAGGTTTCCTTCTTTTCCTCCCTCCCTCCCTCTCTTGATGGATAATCTTCCAGTGTATCATGTTTTATTTATTTGTTACACTACTGATGGACATTTAGCTTGTCTCTGATTTTCCACTATTATAATTATTCACTAATAACGTTATTCATATTGAAATTACATATGCTTACACAGGAACAAGCTATGTATCATTGTATAATTAGGCTACAGGAATGCACACACACAAAGAAGTTTGACAAAATAGTTTCAACACAAAGAAGTGCATCAAAAAAGGACCAAACTGCGAAAAGTACATGACTGGCCTCTGGAAACAAGTTGTAGAGCAAGGTTAGGTTTTCTTAGGCACAGTGAAACTGGAATTAGTGGGTGCGGTTGGGATACTAACTCTGATAAGTAATGATGTAACACAATTCACTTATTCAGGATAAAGATTCTAAACTAAAGGGTCAAACCAATAAGGAAGACTTCTATTCCTGACAAACATGGTTATTCAGTATTGTTAATGTATGTCAGAATAAGATCTTTTCATTTATGGTCATCAAAAATACTCCAAACAGAAGAGGATCACTTTCTGTTACTGTTTTAGGAAAAATTTAAAAATCAAACAGTATTTGATGCTTGAGTTTAATCCAAGGTTAGTTCTGAAATGCTGTACCATATCAACTCTTTGATAAAAAATATGCAGAAAGAGCAAAGGAGGGACTTCCCTTGGTGGCACAGTGGTTAAGACTCTGAGCTCCCAATGCAGGGGGCCTGGGTTTGATCCCTGGTCAGGGAACTAGATCTCACATGCATGCCACAACTAAGGAGCCCGCCTGCCGCTACTAAGACCCAGTGCAACCAAATAAATAAATAAATATTTTAAACAAAGAGCAAAGGAGCAGTAGATAATTTCAAAGTGTTCAACAATAATATAAATCATTATTTTTTTTACTATTATTCAAATAATTTCACAAATTAACTCTCTTTGAAGAGACTGGTAATGTAGCTTCACCACAGTTATGCTATATAAAACATAGATATGACAGTGTGTAGCTTTTCAAGTCCTTGCTTTAAACACCAATTAAAAAACTCAGAAAGGGTGGAAGAGAAAGGGCCCTAAAATTAAAAATAAAAACTCTGAGCATTTGAAATCAGTGGCAAGACAAGGAATAAAATAAACAAGAATTACTATAGACTACGTGTCTTAAGGTGCATAGCAGGATACACACACACATCTGTATATAGCTTAGAAAGCATAACAATATAGTGAACACCCCAACCATGCAACCTCATTACTAGACAAGTCCAAGAGTTCATATCTCTCCCTATATGTTCTTCCCTATTCCATCTCTCTGTCTCACCTCCCCAAGCCCCCACCTTCATGAAGTAATCACTGCCTTGTTTGTGCCATTGGTAAGAAAGGACTTCTGGGAACATTTTCAAGAGTGAAATTAGTGCAAATTCATCTTGAGTAGAAAAACTTGTTTATATCTATCTCCTACTCGTATAGCATGGACAGCAAGCAGCATCCCTGCTGCTATGAAATCTTACGCTGGCACCATTCCTATTAAAAATGAGTTATTTTACACTCTTATAAGTCTTCACAAAATTGATTTTTATTTGACCTCACCCTCAAATATTCTATTAAGCTTATCAAAATAAGCCCAATTTTTTTCAGTGTCTGAAAATATAGATGTTTAAGCATACCACAGCATACCACTTCTGTTAGCATATACTCAAGAGCAGATTAAAATACTTATAGGCAACTTACCTCATGTAAATTCAGTTCTTTTACTTTTTCTTTTAATATAACCTGTAAGACAAAAAAAAGTATGCTTTTATGCCCATTTAAATCTGTAATTTAAAAGATTTCTCATTGTTCTTACAAATATTTTTCTTTTCTGTATATAGCTCATTTCACCTCATATTCAGTATTAGAGAGACTCTCTTACAGTTTGAGATAGAACATTTTAGCAACATTCTTTTAACTTGAGCAATGGTGTAGTATTCTCCTGAAAAGCAATTTTAAAATCTCTTTGAGAATAGATTAAATTTTGGGAGAAGAAATTAACACATGCCTATCTGGAGTATGTGCTAATATGGGGGGAAAGTAAATGAGATTGCTTGCCTCATGATTTGGTAAAACACAGTATTGACTCATGGGACAGACTGGTAATTTATAAAAGACTGAAAAGTAAGGTCAATCTTAATTTTGGAAGCTTTGCTTATTATTATACATCAGTATCCTCAGAAAACTTTAGCTCTATCCAGAATTATGTAAATAGGTTTAAAACTCATCCAGGTGCTGTCCCTAACCTGACTTTGTGGTGACTGGATATCAGTTAAAAATAATGCAAAATGACAAGAGGGCAGATGACTATTTAAAAAGAACATCTCTAAACAAATAGGACCTAATCAAGCTTAAAAGCTTCTGCACAGCAAAGGAAACCATAAACAAAATGAAAAGACAACTTAAGGACTGGGAGAAAATATTTGCAAATGATGCCACTGACAAGGGCTTAATTTCCAAAATATACAAACAGCTCATACATCTCATTAACAAAAAACAAACAACCAAATTGAAAAATGGGCAGCAGACCTAAATAGACAGTTCTCCAAAGAAGACATATAGATGGACAACAGGCACATGAAAAGATGCTCAACATCACTAATTATCAGAGAAATGAAAATCAAAACTACAGTGAGGTATCACCTCCCACCAGTCAGAATGGTCATCATTAAAAAGTCTACAGATAACAAATGCTGGCGAGGGTGTGGAGAAAAGGGAACCCTCCTACGCTGTTGGTGGGAATGTAAGTTGGTGCAGCCACTATGGAAAACAGTGTGGAGGTTCCTCAAAAAACCATTTGAGACAAAAAGATTCATTCCTTTAGAAAACTAAGACATTCATCTCTGTATATTAAATCCCACACGAGACCCATGTATGGTTACCTGTGGACATCAGTGTGGACATCTAAGGAACTCACCAATGGGCTCAGATTTCAAAGAGACATGGACAAAAAGATATGTAATCCTAAAATGACGACATGGTCTGTAACATCAGTGTCAGCAAGATTAAAGACCCAAATAAACTGAAGCTTGGCCCCCACCCCCACCTCTCCCCCCCTCCTAAATTGCTATGGACGACAAAAATAATTTCATGCTCAGGGTCAAAAGAAAATTAAGGAACACCTAGGCCCACTGTTTGGTATCAGTGGTAAAATATTAATGGATGACACATGGAAGAAAAAACAAATTTTACTGGCCTTCAAGAAAAGCTAAATTTATTACCTTAAAGAACATATCAGCAAAGGGATAGTACAAAGGGCTAGGAGTTAATAGCAATGACTGAAGTATCTGGACTTCCAGTAGTGTGACGTGAACTAACACTTAAAGTACAAAGGGGAGGAGATGAGATCAGTATAACACAGCTGGTTACCTCTGAGGAACTAGTATGTCTTCTAATGAAGAAGGTAAAAATTTCATTTAATGGAATCTCTGAACTCCATTAGGATGATAGTAAGTTTAAGGATTTTAAGCTATAGCATTTCTCTTTACCAAAATATTGGCCAAAGTTCCCTGTTATGTTATATTATTTAATCATTTGAACTTTCTATAACTTCAAGTAATACTTAGGAGAAGCCACTGCAATAAGCCCAGGCACTGCAACGAAGAGTAGCCCCCACTTGCCGCAACTAGAGAAAGCCCGTGTACAGTAACGAAGACTCAACACAGTAAAAAAAAAAAAAAAAAAAAAGGAACACTTGAAGTATTTTGTATGGCAAATTGGCAAGCAAAATGCTAAAATGAACACAAGTAAATCTAGTCCCAGTTTAAAATATGAGTGGAAACCTGAGGTCTCATTTTTTTTGGTGAAGAACATGATCAAAGCTAATCTTAAGTAAATCTCTCTCACCTGTTTGTAGGCATAAAATTCTTTGTGTGCTTGATGTCTTAGCCTAAAAGACAGAAATGAGAAATGCAATACTGAGATTTCCATATAAGAATTTGACAAAAATTTTAAAACTGCTTATTTTTGGTATTAATTTATATCATTTATGGTTTAAAATCCAGAATCTTTATTCTAGAATACACTCAAATGACATATCTGTTACCATGTTATGAGAAAGTGACCAGTGAACCAGAGAATGTTATCCAAATATATAAGGTCAAGTGAAATCTCATTAAAACAAAATCTCAAATATTTTAAAGAAGGCTCAATGTTTTATATTGACAATAGTCCACTTATTTCAATAATATTTAATATATCACATTTTTCCTAATTAAAAAATCGAAGTATCAATATAATATACATCTAATAATGTGCAAAAGCCTCAAGAATACAGATAAGTATTAAAAAAAATTATACACACCACCGTAACTATCACCCAGATCAATACATAGAACATTTCCAGCATCCCTGAAATGACTCTTCCCAATCAATATTCACCCCTAACACTATCCTAATTTTTATCATTGTAGATTAACTATGCTTGTTTTTGAACTTCACATAAATGGATCATTTGGTATATACTCTCCTGTGTTGGCTTCTTTCAGAGTCAACAATTACTTGTGAAATCCATCCATGTTGTTGCAGTAATTATATTTTTGACTGACATATAGTGTTCCATTTTACGAATGAATATAAAACTATCCATTCCACTGCTGACAAATATTTAGGTTACTTCCAGTTTGGGGCAATTATGAATCAAGCCTCTATACAAATTCTTCTACATGTCTTTTAGTGGACATATAGACTCATTTCTGTTGAGTGTGTATCTAGGAGTAGAATTACTGGTCCAAAGTGCTTGTACCAGTTTTACTCCTATGGGTAGTGCATGAAAGTTCTAGTTGTTCACATCTTTGCCACAGCTTGGTAGGGTCAGTCTAAAAATTTTTAGCCAGTCTGGTGGGTGTTCAGTGGTATCTCATTTTGGTTTTAATTTTGCATTTCCCAAATGATGTTTAAGACCCTTTCATATGCTTATTGCCCGTTTGGATATTTTCTTTTACGAAATGCCTGTTCAAGTCTTTTGTCCATTTAAGAAAATGAGTTGACTATATTTTTCTTATTGATTTGTAGGAGCTGTTTAAATATTTTAGATGCAAGTCCTCTGTTGGGTACTGCAATACTCTATGGCTTGCCTTTTAATTCTCTTAATGTTATCTTTTGATGAACAAAAGCTTTTAATTTAAAGCTTTTTAATTTAATTTGTGTCCAGTTAAAGAAATCTTTGCCAACCCCCAGATAATGAAGATAATTTCTTGTGTGTAACGTGAAAATAATTTGTTATTTTACCTATCACATTGAGGTCTATGATCCATCTGAAATTAGTCTTTATGTATGATGTGAGGTAGAGGTCAAAGTTCTTTTTATCCACATGCAGATTTTCATTTGACTCCTTTATTGAAGAGACACTTCTTTCCCCACTGTGTTTCAATGGCACATCTGCTGTAAGTGAGACCAATGTGTGGTTCTGTTTCTAGAGTTTCTGTTTTATCCCACTGGTTTATCTGCCCATCCTTGTGTACTGGGTTGAATCGTGTCCCCTCAAAATTAATGTCAAACTGCTACCTCAGAATGTAACCTTGTTTGGAAATAGCCTCTTTGCAGACTATTTAGTAGTTAAAATGAGGTCACATTAGGATTAGGGTAGACCATAAATCCAATATGACTGTTGTCCTTAGAAGAAGAGGAGAGGATATACAGAGACACAGGGAAGAAGGCCAGGTGAAGACAGAGGCAGAGACTGAAGTGATGCAGCTACAAGCCAAAAAATATCAAGGATTGCTGACAACCACCAGGAACTAAGAAGAGGCAAGGAAGGATCCTCCCCTAGATAGCCTTCAGAGGCAGCATGGCCCTGCCAACACCTTAATTTCGAACTTCTAGCTTCCAGAACTGTGAGAGTTTGATAAATTTCTGTTGTTTTAAGCCATCCAGCTTGTGGTACTTTGTTACAGCAACCCTGGGAAACCAATGCATCTTGTGTCAATACCATGCCAGTTTAAAAAAAAAAAAAAACCTTTTATTTTGAAATGATCTTATAGGAAAGTTGCAAAAAATATCAGAGTTCATATATACTTCTCTCCCCAGTTTTCCAACATTCACATCTTACATAACCATAGAACAATGATCAAAAGCAGGAAATTAACACTAATGTTTTGATATTAATACTCGTATAGTATTCACCAAACAGACTTTATTTGAATTTCACCAGTTTTTTCACTAATGTTCTTTTCCTATCTTGTGATCCAATCCAGGACCCCAGCCTGCATCTAGTTGTGTCTCCTTAGTTTCTTCAAATCTGTGACAGTTCCTTAGTTTTTCCTTGTTTTTCAGGATTTTGACATATCGACCACGATCACTTGGTTATGGCAATGTCTACTGGGTCTCTCCACTGTAAAGTTACTATTTTCCCCTTTGCAACTGATCAATATCTTGGGGGAGACACATTGAAACTATGAAAATATCCTATATTTTTCTCAAGCTTTTGCCCACTGATTTTAGCATCCATCTTGCTTGCAACAATTCTGCAGTGTTTGCCTGGTGGTGGTTTTGTAGTTCCCTAATTCCTTGTACATTAACTGGGATTCTTCTGTAAGGAAGAGATGCCCCTTCTCCTTCATTTATTTATATCAGCATGGACTCATTTGTGTTAGTCTATGGGTTATAATTTAATATGATCATTGTTTATTTTGTTGCTCAAATTGATTTAGGCTTTTAGGCCCTCCTTCAGGTTGATACTTATGTCCTTTCAACATGCTCTCATCCTTTACCATGCATTTCCTAGCTCACTGGCACCAAAAGATGTTACAAGCTCATCTTGTATTTTCCATGCTCCAGTTGTGGAATTAACCACTTCTTTCAAAGAGCCTTGGTTCCTTTTATTGGAGAATAATATTTAGAAACCAAGATCTGGGTGCTAGGTGAATAGCACTCTGTTTTAAGTACTGGAGTTTTGGAAAAAGTCTTGGGTCCTCAAGCTTTGTTCTTAACTACTTTGGCTATTCGTGGTCCTTTGCATTTCCATATAGATTTCATGAGCTTATCAATTTCCAGAAAAAAATCTGTTGGGATTTTGACTGACACTGTGTTTAATTTATAGATCAATTGGGGGAAGAACTGACATCTTTGCAAGATTGAGTTTCCAACCTGTGAATATAGCATACTCTATTTATTAGATCTTCTTTCTCTGTACACATTTCTACGTAGAACACTTATATATCATTAAATTTATTCCTAGGTATTTGGTAATTTTTGATCTACTATAAATGGTATTTAAAATTTTTTTATGTTCTAATTCTTTGTTGCTACTACATAGAAAAAAATTCAATTTTTGAATATTGATCCTGTATCCAGTGACTTGCTAAGTTCACTTACTAATTCTAAACATCTTATCTGCAGAATCTTTTGGATTTTTAAAATACACAATTATTTTGTCTGCAAATAATAACAGTTTAAACTCTACCTATTTAATCTTCACATATTTCACTCTTTATTCTTTTTTTTTTAAAATTTTTATTTTTTTGCGGTACGCGGCCTCTCACTGCTGTGGCCTCTCCCGTTGCGGAGCACAGGCTCAGGACGCGCAGGCTCAGCGGCCATGGCTCACGGGCCCAGCTGCTTCGCGGCATGTGGGATCTTCCCGGACCGGGGCACGAACCCGTGTCCCCTGCATCGGCAGGCGGACTCTCAACCACTGCGCCACCAGGGAAGCCCTCACTCTTTATTCTTTATTCCACTTCTTTTTTTTTCCTGCACTGGCCAGGACCTCCAGTACCAATATTAAATGCAAGTGATGGCAGTGAATGTCCTTATTAATATGTTACTACTAAATACGATGTTTTCTCTAGATTTTTTGTAGATAACCCTTGATTCAAATAAAGTTCCCTTGTATCCTAGTTTTAGACTTAAAAAAATCATGAATAGGTATTAATTTTTGTCAAGTGCTTTTTTTCCCTTTTTACTGTTAATGTGGTATACTGTATTGATTGATTTTCAAATGTTAAAACAATCTTCATTTCTGGAACAAAACTCCACTTGGTTGTGGTGTACCACCTTTTTGTACATCCTTGAATTTTATTTACTAATATTTTGTTCATGAGAAAGATTAGTCTATAATTTCCATTCTTGTAATGTCCTTGTCAGGCTTTGGAATCAAAATTATCTGGCCTCATCGAAGTATGTCTTCTATTCTCTGGAAAAGTCATATAAGAGTGGTATTTTTTCCTTAAATGTTTGGAGAAATTCACTGGTGAAGTTATCTGACTTGCAGTTTCTTTGTGGAAATGCTTTTATTATTACATATATAATTATTAATATTTTATATTTCTTCTTGACTCAGTTAAAAATGTTATTATTCTTTTACTTGTATTCACATAACATACAATTAACCATCTTAAACTGTATAATTCAGTGGTACTTAGTGCAGTCACAATGTTGTGCAACCACTAGTTCACTCTAGTTTCAAAACTTTTTCATCAAAAAAAATCTGGTACTCATTAAGTAGTTGGTCCCCACTCCCCCGTTCCCTGGTAATCTCTAATCTGCTTTCTGTCTCTATGGATTTGCCTATTATGGATACATTACATAAAATAAGTCATACAATATGTGACCATTTTGTGTCTGGCTTTTCATTTAGCGTAATGTTTTCGAGGCTCTGCCTATTTGTAGCATGTATCAGTACTTCACTCCTTTTTATGGCTGAATAATATTTCACTATATGTATATGCCACAATTTGATTATCCATTTGTCTATTAATGAGCATTTGGGTTGTTTATACCTTCTGGCTATTATGAATAATGATATAAACATTCTGTACAAATTTCCTTGTGGACATATCTCTTCATTTGTCTTGGGTATATACCTAGGAGTGAAATTTCTGGGTCATATGGTAATTCTATGTTTAACTTTCAAGGAACTGATGAACTCTTTTCCACAGTTCCTGCACCATT